AATCAATCAATCAATAACTCTCAGCCAGCTTCTTAAACATTTGCAAATGTCACATGGCTTGAAGGAACATAAATTCTGATGGTCACTGAGCACTGTCAGTGGTGGGCTTGTTTCCCAAAACACAGAAGTCACCAATGAGCGTCGATGCATATTGTTATGCCACTGCCTTCATTTGGATTTTACCTTTCTCAGAGGAAGAGTTGGCATCTGTATAACCAGTCTTTTGAAGTGATTGGGGTATTTCACCCGGTCATTTTTAATTACTGGGTAGAAGGTCACAGTTCCGTCACTTGAGTTTTCACATCTATTGATGAGAGAAGGACGTAAGTTGTGTTTTCTAAATACTTGAGGGAGAAAGTGAGAGAGAGAGAGTCATACAGGCCTACGTGCCCATCTGTAATGAGGTTCCACCGAGGAAGGCTGCTGAATCCTTCAGTCTCTGTCATCCAGCAGTTATCCAGGTACAGCTCAACATCAGGAGATCCATCTTTCAATTCAACTTCAAGAAATACTGGTCTCCACAAGTACGTAACAGCTACTGAATGTGTCCCATAGGCTGCTGCAAAAGATTCGTCTGCATTTGGGGGGGGGCGAGAGAAGGAAGAGATATATTTTATATAATTAATGGGTAACTGCATTTTTAGGTTTTGTAAAGCTTTCATGGGAGGTAGCCAGTGTGGTGTAGTGCAGTGGTCCCCAACCGGGGGCCTCCAGATGTTCTTGGACTACAACTTCCAGAAGCCTTCACCACCACCTCTGTTGGCCAGGATTTCTGGGAGTTGAAGTCCAAGAACCTCTGGAGGCTCAAGGTTGGGGACCACTGGTGTAGTGGATCAAGTGGTGGACCAGAACTCTGAAGAATAGGGTTCAAATGCCCGCTGAGCCATGGAAACACACTGGTGTGTGGCAGTGGCAAAAGTACTCCTTAAGTATCTGACCTACCTTGAAAGCCTTGTTAAGGTTGCTATAAGTTAGTTCTGACTTGATGGCACATAAGTAACTATAGCTTTCATGCCCCTTTAGGGGAATCATACCTTTGAACATATTTGAGATGATATTCAGAGTTTGTCTTGCTCTTCTGAGACCTACAGAAGGAAAAGCACATCAGAGGTATTCCTGCGCCCAATGATGATGCAATAAAACATACTGGTGAGTTTTTTTGCACTCAACAAGGATGCCTACCTGCCACGTTTGACCTAATTATCATTTTGCCATAGCCATAAGTAGAAGCTGTTGGAGGTGAGGAGAAGCCATAGAACATGGCGCTTTGGATGAGTGTCTCCTTGATTGGATAATAGCACAAGATGGTCAGTCTGCAACAGAGGGACTCTGTTAGTTTGTAGGTACATTATGGATAATATAGGTCCTCATCTCATTCTTCCTTACCTGTATTCTGGATCTCTTGTGATAACTGGTGGTCCTTGTACGGGAAGACTCTCTTTTTCAAAAGATATTTCATTTTCATAAACAAGATGTTCACCTTCAAACTGGATCAGGGAAAAACCATTTTATGTCCAACATGTCTGAAGGCAGGCAGCTGTCATCTCTCCATCGCCCATATCCCTCTTACCTGCTTACTTACCCTCAGTGAAGTCCCACAAGCAGAAACATGAAACTGGAAGAAGGCTTGTTCCTTGGTAAACTCCCTTGGCTTACAGGCCTGGTCTTTCAGTCTTGTTTTGCCCATGTCAATGACCGGAAGTGTCTTCATGACAGCAGATACGCTTACTGTTCCATTAGGGTAGCACACTAGGCGAGCGAGAGATTGAACAGGTTAGAGTAGATGGCGTCCCTCACATCTGGATGAACTCCTGAACGGAGAAGGGTATATTGCTCACCCACAAATTCATGAGAGAGAAAATGGCATCTGACAGAGAAGGTCTCCAGGGTCTCCATAGTGCGGGCTTTTTTCAGGGCAAGATCAAACCTTGCTTGGATTCTCTCCAATGATACTTCCTTTAAAAATCACACAAAGCACATCACTGAGACTTCTTACATGATGATAAGGCTCATGCTATGATTCATAGTCCCACCTCTATATAGAGCAGATGAATAATAATAATAATAATTGTGTGCTGCCATGTTAATTCCAATCCATGGCGGCTTCTTCTGGGCTTTTCTAGGCATTGGTATACCATTCCCATCATCTGGGGTGGTCTGGCATCGAGCAGCTTGCCCAAGGCTATAAAGGCTGGCTCTACTCAGAGGAGACACAATGGGAAATGGAACTCCTGACCCTCGGGCTCCGCAGTCAAACTCTTAACTCATCAGAATAGAATAGACAGAGGCAACGCGTGGCCTGTGCACTGCCTGTAGCTTCACAGCTACCTCTGAACTACAAACATCCCTAATGTTCAAACCACAGATACAGGTAGCGCCCCCCCCCATTGGCAATGAAGGCTATGTGCCCCAGAAGCCTCCAGGAAACCCGAGTTGTCTAGCACACTTTGCCTGTCGCCCCAGGCCTGACAACCAATTTTTTTTTAAATGTAAAGTGATTGGTCAGTCACGTTCTGTTTCTAAAAAAAGGCCTGGAACGAGCTGGCTAGATAGCTCAGTGAGATGATGGAAGACATGGCTGGTTTTGGGGAGTTGGGAGTCCTCCTGGGAGAAGAGCCGGCCCGTGCAGGATCAGGGCAAGCGGCAGAGTCCCAGGGTGCCCCCGGCGTGGTCAACATTCCTGAATAGTGTATCCCTAGAAAACCCTGGAAAAGGGTCGCCATGAGTTGTAAGTTGGAACCGACTGAACAGCACATTCTTCTTCCTCTTCTTATGGTCTAGAACCATTTTGGATGGGAAATGAGATGTGCAAGACAAAATTCCCTCCACAGGGAGGAGTAGTCCACATTTTGGAGGGATTTTTTTTTAGGGGAGTGTGTTTTTTTCACCGGGATGGGGGGGGGTCCCTTAGAAGTTGGGAAGGGGTAGACAAAAATGGTCCCTGACCCTGAGGAACTTTCCCATTCCTGGAACAGACAGCACAGATTTTTTTAATGCTTACAAAAGTCTATTTTATTAGCTTTCATGGAATCACCGGAGTTCTCATGCCCATGGGGAGGAAGGAATGTCTCTAAGACAACGCGTACTCTAACTTGTGTGGGCAAATGTGTGGGTGCAGCTAGACAACCTGATTATCCCAGCCTGGATTGGTCTAGGAGAGACTACACAGGGTAGCTTTGAGTGGTGGTAGACATGTGGGGTGATCCTTGCATCCCCATGCAAGGATTGCTCGTACTGCCCCTCCAGTTGCCCTGTTTGGCACAATCTAGACTGAGCTTGTAGAAGAGGTAGCCGTGTTAGTCTGTGCACGCTCTGCAGGTGCAAACAAAATGCTAAAAAGTTTTATAACATTTTATATTTTTATAATATATCTTTTATATTTTTTTAATGTGAGCTTTCATAGACAAGTCCACTTCATCAGAAACTTGTCCAGGAAAGCTCACATTAAAAAAAAGGAGAGTCTTTAAGTTTCACCATATTTTTGTCTTTTTTTTTACTTTGTTACTTTTATTTTTACCTGCACTGATCTTCTTTCCCTCTAACATTGAAACTAGAAAAATGAAAACAAAAGGTCCTTCTCTTTTCTCCTCCTCCATGCTTTGCCTGATGTTGAGAAATGGAATACTTCTTTTCTGTTTGCCTGTGAAGGAAAGCTTTCCATTTCTCTTTAATTGTTAATATATGGCACAAAGCATAGCTGATGTGTTAGCACTTTTTCTTTCTCTTCCCCTCTGTAGGCGAGCAGAAAGGAAGCTTTCTATTTCTCAGGATTGTTAAGTAACTTCAGCATGGGACAGACAGGCAGCCACTTTGGTTCAATCCCAGTGGTCTCTCACACACAGGAACTGAACCAAAACAGAGCAATCCTACCTACACTAAAAAGCAGTAGCCCCAGACAGGGACTCAGAAAGAGGTGGATATGCATCAACCAGGGTGGGTTGGCTTGTGATGGTACATATGTCATGTGGCTGCTGGTAAAAATGAGCAAACCAGCCCATTCCTGGCCCAGAGCAAACTGTGGGACAAATGCCACCCCTCTATGCTTTTCTTTCTACTTTGTTTATTTACATGTACACTGGGATCAGGTTAGCCACCTAAAGCCCACATAATGAATCAGAATGCAATTTCCTTAATCGGCTAACGGACCTTGTTTTATATAGTACACTTGATAGTCTTGTTCAAGCATTTCTGCACATAAAGAATTGGTGCCGGAAGGGGGCAAGAGGACCGTGTGACTGGCCCTGGCAGCCCTTGAGGTAGACCTCCTAGATCTCAACATCCTGATGAGGGGTTTGCAGAGGCCTGAAAAATGCGCTTTCCCTGTGCAGATGTCTGTGCCAGTGAGGAGATGTATGGAAAAGGTGGTCAGTGCCATGCAGAGAGTAAAGAGTAGGATGAGCAATGCAACAGGACCTACTGCTCATTTTTATCCCTACATGGAGGTTATACAGTGGTGCCTCGCAAGATGATGTTAATTCGTTCCGCGAATATCGCTGTCTTGTGAAAACATCATCTTGCAAAATGTGGCTCCCTACTGGAATGCATTGAAATCCATTTAATGCGTTCCAATGGGGGAAAAATCATCGTCTAGCAAAAATCGCCCATAGAGAAACCATTTTGCAAAGCACGGATTAAAACATAATCTAGCGAAAATTGCCTATAGGGAAAACCGTTTTGTGAAGGACTATAGCGATTGCAAAAACCCATCGTCTTGTGAATAAACCGTTTTGCAAGGTAATCGTCTAGCGAGGCACCACTGTATAGAGAACAGGTGTAGGGCTAATCTCTCTCTAAATGTAACATATTCCCCAATCAGGATGACTGAATATATCTTGCTAGGGAGTGAAATGTCTGGTGTGTTATCCTATCCTTGCCTAGACTGGCAAGCTTTCGTTCCCAGGCTTATGAGAATCTAGTACTAGAATAAAACCAGCCTGGCTTGTGTAGTGTCATGGGCTCAGAGATCCAAGTCCAGTCCTTACTCAGCCATGAAACTATCTGGGTGGTCTTCATCTACTCATGAATGGTCTCCCACACCTCTCATCCTGGCCTCCCCCAAAAGGCTGCTCTAAGAATAAAGTGGGAAGAAGGTAAGCCATCCATGCCAGCCTGAGCTCAATGGAGACAATGTGAGACACAAACAAACAAACAAACAATTAGCGGAGCCCGACACAGGATTTTGAAGTCTGTGCCGCTGTCCTTCCCTCTCATTCTACTCCATCTACGAACCAAGGTCCCATAGGCCCCCTACATACCAATCTCTGTTGTGGGGGATGAGGAGGGTGGGGGTTACAGAAGAAAAAAAACACGTCAGTAAATTTCACACAGCTTCAGTTTACAAGCTTTCCCACAAGTCACGCTATGAAGCATTTTAGTTACGGACCTGTACCACTACTTACCTCATAGATAATCCCAACAGCAAAAAGGGGAACTTGCAATACTTGATGAGTGGCATTGGCAGTGAGAAGATACCCATTTGCAAGGGCAGTACCTGGATCGAGTGGCTTATTGCCTACATACAGACGCCAGAGTTGACCCATGTCTTTCATAGAAATAGCTAAATACATGCTCTTTTTGTCACAATATCCAATGGCTTCTGGTAGCACTGTGGGGGAGGAAAATGTTTTTTTTTAAAGTAATTAAGTGAATGTCATCATGAATGACACATTTCTTTCCAGAAGCTTTGACAACTCTTTCAGCTCTAAATCATTTCTGAAAAAGAGGGAGACATTTCAGCTCAAAAAGAGACACCATTTTAAAACTCTCATGCTGGTGTTGAGACCAAGATTAATGGTATCTTTGGTCTTCAGTTGATGTTTCAAAACATGACCAACATTTGGGTGGTATTATCAGTGATTTACACAGTGGCGTAGAAGAGCTAGGGTTCCTAGGGTTGAAGATCTGAGACTTTCTAAAAACAGGCACTATGACCCATCTCTCCCAACTCCACCCCACATTCTTCCTGCATCTGAGCTTTGCTGAAATCCACATTGACTGAGAGAAAAGTAGATTCCTCCTGCCCCCAGGAAGAGAACAGGATTGCAGGCCATCCCTATTATAATGCAAAATATTAAGGGTGGTTTTGTTTTAAATGGGCTGCTAAGAGCCACTAGCTTGATCAAAGACCTGTTCCTCATGTGTTTATGAGGACCAATCCAGCTGTTTGGGAGTCTTATTATGGGGAGGTGATGGCTACAGAGACGGGTCGATCAGGGTGAGCCTGAAATATGCCATTACACTAAGAGATTTATAGGACTAGAAACACCTTTGCTAGTGAAAAATATTGGCAGAATAAACAGGGAGCGACAGACATCTTTTGTAAGAAAACAAGTGGGCTACATGTTGTACGATGAAGTCAGAGAATGAACTAAAGCTAGGGTGGAGAATGTGCAGCCCTCCAGTGGTTTTGGACTGAACTCCCACCAGCCCTAGCCCTAGCCAAGATAGTGAAAGATGATGGGAGCTGCAGTCCAGCAACAACCAGAGGGCCACATATCCCCTGTCCCTGTACTAAAGCATGGAGACTGCAGCTGGAACAGGTTGGGATTGTGGGCAACGGGGAGTCAGTAACTGAAGCAATTCCTGACTGATAAGTTAGAACTTAGGTTGATCCTATTAGCTCATTGGGTGGATTCTAGTTGGCACTAGCAACTGGATTGAATTGCTATGTCTAAATATTATAATTAAGAATTATTCGGTGTTCATTGAAAGGGAAGGGCGTATTTAAGACACCATGTCATGAAAGTTTTAAATCAGTTCTTTCTCTCTCTCTTTGATTTTTTCTCCCCAGACTTCTTTAGATAGTCTACTGGCTCACTAACAAAATAACCCTCATTGATTCCAGTGGTCTAGACCTCTGCAGTACAATAACTGTGAGGCCATCCAGCATAACATTTTAGCTAGCCATCTATGGGTCATTGTTTTGGACCAAAACTGAAGGCAACTTACCAACATCTGCAACTATGCACTCTATGTCTGCAGGATGATGGTACACTTTCCCCTTTGGGCCCACATTCAGAGTGTAGTTCAAGCGCAGGTAATATTTAGTTTCATTTTTGTTCACGTACTAAACAAAAAAAAAACCCCACCAATTAAATCATGGAAAGAGAGAAAGAGGTTGACAGCATTAGCTTCATCAAAAAGGGTTTTTGGGGTCATTTAAAATGGGTATGGAAAAATATCAGTTCAGAAATATGTCAGCAGCAAATCAATATCTACTCTCTTTCTTCTAGTAGACTTTGTCTAAAAGGGCGGGATAGAAATCTAACAAATAAATAAATAAAATTCTATCAGGATGAGCAAAAACATGCATCGACCAACTCAAGTACAATGCTGCTGCAGTTCCTCTGTTCAACATATCACCAGTCCAGGCACCATGCATGTTCAATGCCTGCCCCCATGAGAGAATTTTAAGGGTAAGACACACACCCCCAAACTTTCTTACCTCTCTTAGGACATTGGGATCATCGAAAGGTACTTCTAGCCTGAAACTTTTTTTCCCACTGGAGGTGGGTGTATCAGTGATCTTGTAGCCTTTTTGCTCTGCTTCCTTGAGAGATACAGGCATGTCTCCTATTGTAACTGCAACTAGAGTGACATCAGGAAGAAAGACTCCCAATGTGACATTAAATAGCCGCGTTTGTGGATCAGTGTCTGTTAAAACAAACACAAAACAATTATTTATTTTTATTTTATTTATTTACTGCATTTATACCCCACCCATCTGGTCAACTGACTGCTCTGGGTGACTTCCAACACGTATAATAATATAAAATATAACAACATTTAAACATCAATAATAGAGTTATTCAAGATGGAAAGAAATAGGGGAAAAAATAAATAAATCAAATAATAGCTGAGGGGAAGGCCTACCTAAACATCCAAGTTTTCAATTGGTTTTTAAAGATGCATTTTAAAAACATTTAAAAGCATTTTGTTATGGGGCAGTTACAAACTATGTTAGAATACCGTTGCTTCCAAATATTTTGATAGCAATCTATACTCTGAAAATAAACTCCAAACAATATTTCTGCTGAATAATAACCCACATTTAGGAACACGTTGAAAAAAGGAATCTGTTCTTGTGTAAACCTAGGAATGTGCGAGTATCATCTGATCTGTACGTAAATATTTGTTGAACAGATCAGGACTGACTTGCCCTGAGCTGGTTTGAAGGTGACCTGAACCCATTTGTTCTCAGGGATGTGCAGGTATGTGTATGTTTTCAGAGGAGGGGTGGGTGGGAGAGGCTGTGAATAGGGAGAACAAAGGGCTATGATCTGGGATGGGAGGCTACTATACATTGCCACAATTTTTTGAAATGTGGGTGGACTGCCAATGCATACATGAAGTTCCTATTGCTTCCTTTCTTCCTTACATTCCTCCCTTTCCAGGAGCCATGCGCTCTATTATTTGCCCAAATCCTGTGCTTCCATGAATCCCTGCTGCATCAGGAAGAAAGAAAACAGACAACAATGATGGGGTGGTGATGGTGGTCTCTAGTGCTTCTTTGATCTATCTGACCAGAGCCAGCATAAGAGGGTCTATCATCCACCCCACATTCACACATGCTCTCAAACCGAAGGTAATAAAGCCTCAATATAGCTACATGAAAGAAAGAAAGAAAGAAAGAAAGAAAGAAAGAAAGAAAGAAAGAAAGAAAGAAAGAAACTTCTAAATGCAGCAGCCTCCCTTTGCCACGCCTAGATGGGACATGGCTGCTCTGGCCAGCGGATGGGCTTCCATGGGCTCAGGGACAGGAGTTCGCAGGGAAGGTTTTTAATGTCATGGGGACTTCAGCTGTCCCTTTCAACATCAGTGCTTCTTTTGCTGCAATGAATGATGCCAAATTTCTCCTTCCCAATTTCACCAGTTCTAATCACCCAGAAAGCAGAGCAAACTTTAGTGAATTGTAGGGACATGCAATACTTGTAGGATGCCCCACGTGATGTAATGGGAGAGTGATGAGCTAGGACTCTGGAGACCAAGGCTTGAATCCTCACTTGGCCATGGAAACTCAGTGGGGGTAGGGAACTGATAAAACCATCTCTTGGGGTCCTGACTTGATGGCACATAGCTAACTCACCAGGGGCCTGCAACCTGCCCTGATTTAACTGGAGGCTTCTTGAGCTGACCCCACAGCTAATTTAGAAAAGCAAATATAGACCAGCTCCAGTGAATCTGGATACCTTTCTCCAAAACCACCACATATATCTCCTGTAAACTGACCCAGAAAGAAAGAAAGAAAGAAAGAAAGAAAGAAAGAAACTTCTAAATGCAGCAGCCTCCCTTTGCCACGCCTAGATGGGACATGGCTGCTCTGGCCAGCGGATGGGCTTCCATGGGCTCAGGGACAGGAGTTCGCAGGGAAGGTTTTTAATGTCATGGGGACTTCAGCTGTCCCTTTCAACATCAGTGCTTCTTTTGCTGCAATGAATTATGCCAAATTTCTCCTTCCCAATTTCACCAATTCTAATCACCCAGAAAGCAGAGCAAACTTTAGTGAATTGTAGGGACATGCAATACTTGTAGGATGCCCCACGTGATGTAATGGGAGAGTGATGAGCTAGGACTCTGGAGACCAAGGCTTGAATCCTCACTTGGCCATGGAAACTCAGTGGGGGTAGGGAACTGATAAAACCATCTCTTGGGGTCCTGACTTGATGGCACATAGCTAACTCACCAGGGGCCTGCAACCTGCCCTGATTTAACTGGAGGCTTCTTGAGCTGACCCCACAGCTAATTTAGAAAAGCAAATATAGACCAGCTCCAGTGAATCTGGATACCTTTCTCCAAAACCACCACATATATCTCCTGTAAACTGACCCACATGTTTTCTGACAGAAGATCTACAAGTCCTTTATAATTAAACGGCAATAAATGCTTCTTCCAGGACATACAGCGAGAATGACATTCACATGGAAGTCTCTCTTCTGGAGCTGAAATCGCTTTACCTTATGCCACCTTGGTTACAGCAACTTACCATTGACTACTGTTGGTATTCGAGGCATGAAGGGTGTAGTGATCGGCTTAATCACAGTGTATTTGGTCAGCTTCCAGTCTGTATCTGACCAGGTATGCTCCAAAAACACATTAATACTGTAGGTTATCCCATGGACACCATTGGAGACAGTGCTCTGTGGGAGGGTGAAAGGGAGAAAGAAAAAGATTCTTACAGTATTTAACCGAGACTCATTGAGAGTCAAAAGCATCAGTACCCATGAACTCCTGGATAGCTCAGTGGTTTAGTAAGATTCTTACGGTATTTAACTGAGACTCATTGAGACCGATTGCAGTCAAAAGCATCAGTACCAATGAACTCCTGGATAGCTCAGTGGTTTAAGTCTTTGGCTGCAGAGCCAGAGGTCATGAGTCTGACTCTCAACTGTGCATTCTTCACTTAATGATCTATAGAGTTCCTTCCAGATCTCCCGTTCAAAGATTATTACTGTGTTTCCCCAAAAATAAGACGGGGTCTTATATTAATTTTTGCTCCAAAAACACATTAGGGCTTACTTTCAGGGGATGTTTTATTTTTTTCATGTACAACCATCTACATTTATTCAAATACAGTCGTGTCATCTTCTTCTGGTTGCTGCACAAGGGTGGAGGGCAGGGTTTCACTTCACTAGGGCTTATTTCTATGGAGTAGGACTTATATTACGAGTATCCTGAAAAAATCATACTAGGGCTTATTTTCAGGTTAGGTCTTATTTTGGGGAAACAGGGTATTATTAAAAACAATAATAATGAAGCTGTCATAGGCAAACTGGAATCAAAACATACAGGATTTGCATCTTGTGTATTGCATTCTGCAGTACTCAGTTGCATCTTGCCATATTTTTGCTATTGATTCAAGTAACCGTAACTGAGTAATGCTAGGGCCATCTTGATTAAGATGTAAACTCTGTCCCGTTTCAAATAACACTGGCTTAGTGTACGAAGTGTACAGTGTACTAATTCCATCAGTGCATTCCTGATTGAATGTCAGCTTTAATGAAGACATCTTTCATTGTTTCAGAAGAATATAAAAGAGTTTCCAAGGATTAAGCAGATCTCCAGGGTAAGGGATTCCAAAATTATGGAAAGCCAGCGGCAAGAATGATTCTCTGCTCACCTTAACAGATTTATTGCAGAGATAGTGGATTTATCATTCTGATCCACCTTCAAAGTTGTGGAATCAAGGGTGGAACAGAAGGTTGTGATGGAGCAAGAGTGATTTCTCAGGCTGGATGGGATCAGGCCTGAAACACAGCCCTGATAGTAATATGTAATCAATGCAAATACTTCCGCTCAGTATCATGTGCTGTTCATGGCCCAACCTTTTTAGAAAATAGGCTGCAGAGCTGAATGAAAATGAGAGGACTCGCGGCCAGGTCACCCTGCACTCCACTACGTTATCTCACATGTCAGGAGGCCCCCAACTTTCACACACATTTCTCAATGCATGTACAGTATAACGTATGTTAAGGTTCAGCGGGTACACCTATCCTGTTCTAGCTGGGTGGCTTGAGCATTTGCAGGATGTTCTCTGCTGTGCAAATAAAACCACAAATTCAAATTTTGCTTAGCTGCAATATGGTTGAGATTAAACACAGCTTTCAGGATCTGCTATGCCAGCCATAGCTTACTTCTGGACTGTATACTTTCACTGCACTGTACCTCAAATCTGCCATCATCTGCTCCGATTGGGATGGTTATCACAATGTGTGTGAGGTTCCGTTCCAGGGCGTAGTTGAGTTTTTCAGGGTCCTCAATTCTTTTCTCACCAACTCCCATTGATATATTAAGAGAAGTGAAGGTGGGTTGCTGAAGGACCAGTCTAGGGATCATAGTTGGCACCATCCATATTATGTCAGCATCTGTGAAGCTGGTACCATCTGTGGATTTATAAAACTGGTAAAAATCAAATCATTGTTGGAGAGAATCAAGAGAATTTTCACACTATAACTAGCAGGTAACCATGTTAAATCTGTGAAACATATAACATGTATGAATCATCTTGCTACACCACTTGTGTGCAGACCAGCCAGATCTCATTCTAAGGTCTAGCTGCTGATTAAGGATTAGCCATACATGCAACTTTTCAACAACTGGCACATAGGGACAAAGAGAACACTCACAATAATAATAATTGCTGAACAGTACAAAAGAACAGGAAAAAAAATAAATGCAAAATAAGAGCTCTCTTCCGTAAGAACCAAGAAAGAAAGGAAAATGTTTACCAAAAGTAGGGAAAGCCAATAGAGGAATGTATTACCTGATTGGAATAAATTAAAGATTAAGGCGAGATACTGAAGAACTATACAGAAGCGAGGCAAGGATAACATTCCTTCAAAAGAAAATCTTCTGATGAAGAACATGCTATTTTAGAAGATGAAAGAAAAGCTACTACTAAAGTAATGGCAAAAAATAAATCATGAGGAGTAGATAGGATACCAATACAGCTATCTCAACCTGCAGGGATCAGATCTCTCAAAATCCAAACAAGAATATGTCAACAAATATGGAAGACAAAAACTGTGGCTCACAGATTAGTAATACTCAATTAATATTCCAATTCCAAAGAAAGAAGACACCAACCATTGTAGGAATGATCAGACCATCACATTAATTTTCCATGGAATCAAAGTCATGCTCAGAGCTGGGAAATAATGCAGCGAAATTAACACATTAATGTTAAAAAACATTAGCTATCTTCTGAATCAACATTTAAAGAAGTAACTTTAACAGCAGTTTTTGTCATTAAAAATGCTCGTCTAGGTATGCCTTCTCCTGAAGACATATATGAATTTACAGTTCCTCTCCCTCGAAAGAAAGAGGCTAATAACATTTACTTATGCTTCATTGACTATGCAAAAGCCTTTGACTGTGTGGACCACAGCAAACTATGGCAAATCCTTAAAGAAATGGGAGTGCCTGACCACCTTATCCGTCTCCTGAGAAACCTATATGTGGGACAGGAAGCAACAATTAGAACTGAATATGGAACAACTTATTGGTTCAAAATTGGGAAAGGAGTACGACAAGGCTGTATATTGTCCCCTGGCTTATTTAACTTATATGCAGAATACATCATGCGGAAGGCTGGACTGGAGGAATCCCAAAAGGGAATTAAGATTGCCAGAAGAAATATTAACAACCTCCGATATGCAGATGATACCACTCTGATGAAATTTACAGTTCCTCTCCTTGGAAAGAAAGAGGCTAATAACACCTATTTAGAATTACATTTATGTTTGGTTGCCCAGTCTTGGGTCCGTTAATGTAAAGGAAACGTTGTAAAGGAAATGTAGGAGGAAACTTTGAGGGAATTAGAATCTAGGATCTTTAAGAAACCCAAGATTAAAAAGCATTACTCTGTAAAAAAGCAATTAACAACTCAAAGCTATAGTTCCTTGGTACAATACTACAAGATATTTCCACTAAAACATAAGTTTGCTAAAAAATATAGCTCACAGCCTTGTTTTGCCACCATTATTTATTATTATTATTTATTTTATTTATTTAGGGAAAAAAAAAGGTTCTCAGAGGAATTTCAGGATACATTTCTGTTCCTTGCCAAGGTTCAACCAAATCAGCTCAGGATAAATGCCCAACTCTTAAAAATTGCTGGCTTAATCTTCCATGGCTTTCATTTACAAAATAATGGTCAAAATTAATTTATGCTGGATTAAGGGGAAATGATGACACTACGATGGCAAGTTGCCCTTCATTAATGTTCCTACTGTGATTCCTCATTGCTGGTGAATCAGGTGGCTTCCCATGTGGACCTGGAATACAAGCAGGAACTATTTAATTAGCATCTGCTAGTCTTACTCCACTTTATAGACATACTTGGTGGAGAATTCCAGTTGAGAATAGATCCTATTTTCCAAAGAGGTCTCTGAGGATGCAACTACGTGGGGACGGGGGAGGATGCAAGAAATGCTACAAGTCTCAGGCAGGCCGGCTCACATTTCTTCCACGACGAATAACACCTATTTAAAATTACATTTATGTTTGGTTGCCCGGTCTTGGGTCCATTAATGTAAAGGAAACATTGTAAAGGAAATGTAGGAGGAAACTTTGAGCATTTCTTTAATCACATGACGCGGAGGGAAATGTGAATCAGCCTGGAGACACTGCCCCCCCCCCATCTGTAGTTTTTTCCTCCACTAATGGGGCTTCTACTTTTAAAAAAACTATGTGCCAATTTGCATCGATTCAAGTATGTGACTGCTTGCATCGATGCAGAAAAGCTGCCAGAAACCGTGAGTAAGCAGGCAGGGTGTGTGTGTCCTAGTGTGGGTGTGTGAATACCAAGAGCGGAAAAAATGGGGTTTAGAAAATTCTGGACTACACTATTGGTGGGGGACTCTGGGACCTGCTATTTCTAGGCTTTCCCAAACTACCTGCATCAAAGGACTTCATCCTCTTGACAAATCCTGGCTGCTCCCTGTAATGCTGAGGATGAGGAAGCCGGAATGGATAGATTCTGATGTCGTTTACTCCCCAGTAACATTCAAAGGATTTTTGCTTTAAAGCTTGACTTTTATTTATTTGAACAGCTTGTTTGTTTGTTTAAACAGCTTGGTGCAGGATAACCATATGAAGAGAGGACAGGAGAAAAGCTGTTTTTCCCCAGATCTTGTTCAGGTGGCTTCTTTGAATGGCACCTCCTACAGGCAGTTCAAATGAAGGACAGATAAGGTGCAGAAAAGGCTTATTTCCTGTCTCCTCGAATGGCCACTTACATATTTGAATTCCCCAGTGCAACCTCACATCCAGTGAATATGTGGGTAGATTTGCATCTCCCTCGCTATGTTGTTGCACCCTGAGTCTGATGCCCCAAATAATCACAGAGTCTTGTGGCACTTTATAAAGACTAGCGGTTTTATGGTATGAATTCTGATATTGGTCTGCAACAGCCATTGAAGGCAATTATCACTCTCTGTACATTTGCCTCTGACCTTGATGTTTACTATCCATATCCTTCCTCCCTGTCATGTGCGTACGGTCTGCCAACATGAGGTGACACTTCATGCAGCTGGTGAAGTGGCTAGGGGTAACAAAAGCTTATAGACATTAAACTTTGTTGTCATTAAATTGTTACAAGACACCCCACTGTCATCTCACAATTACGTCTCTCCAAATAATCTGCTCTTAAGTCCCAGTTGAATCAATGATCCATTTTTAGGGCAGGAGAAGAGAAATACTTGCCAACAGGGCATGACACGGTGGTATCAATCAACAGGAGCAGCCATCTTTGCTTGTACATGGAAGTGGAGCTGACCGTGCTCATGGTGACCCCATGAACCTGTGAAAACACGCATGGGGACATTTTACCACTTCTCTGGCATATGCTACTCATTAAACGAACACCATCTTTCTGAGAGGGAAAAACTCACCAAAGAATATTCAGATTCATTTGTGCCATATGGAGAGCGGAGGAAGACTCTTGACAGTGTGTTGTTGAAACTATAGCCTAGTTTGCCAGCATCACTCACCACCGTAGTCTTTCTCCCTGAAGGAGAATGGAATACCAGCTGCCATACCTGGTATGCAACCTTTTGCATCTAGAAGGAAAAGAAAGGATTAGGCAGGCAAGGATTTACAAGCTTTGGCAAAAACAAAAGGGATGAGGCGAGCATGTATAATTTTCTGATTTTACAACAATGTAGTAGATGAAGCTACGGAGTTTCAAAAACACTGTATATAGAAGCAAGTTAAGGCCAAGAGACACAGCCTCTGCCAGCCACAATGTCATAGAAAAGGGACTGTCCTACAGAAGCAAATTTCAGAGGAACAGCCAATCAAATCCATACCAGCAAAGGTGCTGGGTCACTAACAATCAGTTGGAAGTGGTGTAGCTTTCTGCAGAGGCCGGAAAAAACTGTTTTGACTGCAATTCCCAGAAACCACCTTGGCTATGATATTCTGGGTGCTTCTGTTGAAAGGGATAACTATTCGAAGCACTAGACTTTTGTTGTGGTTGTTAAAAAAATGGTTATCTTGCATACCTAGGCACTGCCATGTAGTTATAGCTTCACACAGAGTGGAATTATTCCTCTTACTGGAAACAGCAGAAACTGATTCAAAAGGAATGCAACATGTCAAAGATCATTTTATCAAAATCAGTCAGAACCTCCGGCATGCAGTGAGTGATGGCTGACTGAAACTTAATCACATTTTAGGACTGTGGTAGACTGCAAATCCCATCATCCCTCCTTCTTGTCTTTGCCAGTGGAGGATGCAGGAGGTTTTCTCCTAAAAATGTCTGGAGCACCTCATGTCTTCCAGCTCTGGATTAGGAAAAACTGTCTCAGCTTTATCCTATCCATAGTTGGTTGTGATTTGATGTAGTGACAGTGTACGGACAGGCAGTGATCAGTGAGCCTGGGTTCCAATCCCTGCTCAGACAAGGAGCTCAAGATATGACCTTGAACCTATTTACCTCTAAACCTAATTTACCTCATTTGAAGAAGGTGCTGAAGATAAAATGGGAGACCCTCCTTTTCCCCACCTCAAATGCTGTCTCAAATTCCTTAGAGGAAAGTGTGATATATGCAATGTTAAAAACTGTATATTTATCACATCCTATAACACAGGTAAACAAACTGAGCAGGTAGTTTGATTAAAAATATACCAAAACTTCAACACATTACTTCCTTCAAGGGAAAAAAGAGACAATGAGAGGTTGGATTCAATGGCCTTCTGGGCCCCTTCCAACTTAATTATTCTGGGATTCTCTGTGCAATTTAAAGATGGGTTGATTTGTTTCAATACCCATTTTAGCAATTGAAGAAAAGACATTTAATGATTAATACTCCTCCCCTACCTCTGGAAGTGCTGACATCCACGGTGCAGTCTCATCATCTGAAATCACAGGAATGTCGGTCTTCACTGACACCTTGAAATGAGATTTAGGGTTGTTTTTTCCCACTGCAGAATTCAACAGGTTACTTCAAAGTCCAAAAGTGTTCCGTTTCTACCTCACACAACCCACAATTTTAGGGACATAAAATTGCCAACACTTTTCCATTCATTTTCTGAAGAAAGGCTACCCACTTACACTGTATAGTCCACAGCCCAGAAATTCTTACGTTGGGACTTACTTTGGAGGAGGCAGACACAAACCCCAATTTTGTTTTGTGTGCTTGATGTGCAAATGTCCAGATTGGAAAGAATGATATCTGGCTCCATTCCCCAGTGCAGCCCCCAAGAATCCCCACTTGGAAAATAGCTCCTCACTTCACTCAAATCCCACACAGGACAGGAGTCTTGGTAGCAGACAGTGGGCCGACATGGCCAATTGTTCATCAAGGTTGCCTGTCATTATTAATAGGCACCCTGAGCGCCATCTTACCTCCATGTAATTCTCTTCACACACGATCTCCCGTGGAGCCCATGGGTAGTAGGCGCAACGCATGGGATAGGAATAGACTTCAGGTGCTCTCATGTCCTCAAAGGTTGACACTTTGACATTGATGGTAAGAGAGAATATTTCATCCCTCTGCAATTGTTTTTGATATATCAGGTTATTGTGGTTTGCCTCTGAATATAAGCAGAGCACACACTCAAAGAATCCACCAAACTATGATGCACAATTTATATTTATTCAGCACACTCTAGACTCCTTCTGTACATGTGAATGGGGCTCCATTGTCTATCATGGTGCTTCTTGCTTTCATGCAAAACCCATCTAAATAGTTACTTTTCAAAGCATGCTGGCTTAGCTGCTTTATTACAGTAACGAGAGCATGCATTAACTTAGAATATACTGTGGCTGCTGCCTTCATAACTAGGGGCTTTCTTCTACCTTACCCCTAGATCTCCATATCAGATCTGGTGCTATCAGATATTTCTATTGGTAGTCAACAGGCACATGTGGGGGCTAGCATACCTAGGCAGCAGACTATTTACTACAAAATCACAGGCAGGGAACAATGGCCCTCCAGCTGGCTTTGGACTACAACTTCCATACTGTGTGTAGTGGTTAATTTGAAGTGCAGGTGCTCATCGGAATAATCCCCATAAGCAGCTTTCCCCTGAGAAAATGCAAGTAAACAGATCTGTTCATGCCATTAAATGAGGAGCAGGTCTTGTGTATAGCTAATGGCTCTCAATTTCCCATTCAATATCAAACAGTTCTCAGTACTTTGCATTACAAGAGAGACTGCTTGAAACAATACTCTGTTTCTGGAAAAAAATCAATTTCTCTTCCAACATGAGGACTGACACTATACAGTGGACCCTCGACTTACAGGCTTTTCGAGTTACAGACGTCTTTGGCCGCAAAATTTAGGTTCGACTTGCAGCTGGAGAATCGACTTACAGACCAGAAAAAAAAAAAAACAAAATGGAACGAAAACGGAACAGTCTGTACAAAGGAAGAAGATCCCTCATTTGATATTCACCATTCTATGAATTAAAGGAATCTGGTTTTTGTTTAATATACTGCCCTAAACCCAACATCTTGCTACTGTTTTTCCACTGTAATGACTGGACTTTTTTTTTTTGGCTCCTTTCCCTGCCTGCAGTCTTTCGGCTACTGAGGGGCAGCCATGCCTTCTTGGCAGTTCTGTCAGTGGAACAACGCTTGAATGCTGACCAATATCTATCACATTTTGTACGTATACAGTATTAAAATAGTTAAGGAGGTGTAAAAAAGCAACCCTGAAAATGTACATTGTGCTTCAAAATGAGGTTTGAATTTCTGGTTTACTAAATATAGGCATTTCAAAACAATCACCTAACGCTAGCCAAGTCTGAAAGCGAAATCAATGTAAAACAGAACAGTATTTCTCAGAACAGTATTTCTTCTTTAGTTAGCTGACAGTTGAATATGTCAACGATTTGTAAGAAAAACCCAAATAAAGGAGAAAAAGGCTCCTAGAATGTGAAATACAAGTGGAGCACCAAAATACAAGTTGAGCAAACTGGCACATGTTCACCAACTTTGTTCACCAACTTTATGCTCAGGGCATTTTTGCCTATCCAGCAAAACAGTACCCAAGTAAGTTACTGGATAGCTCAGTGGCTGAGGTCTCTGGCTGTGGAGCCAAAGGTCGGGAGTTCAGTTCCCCCACTGAGCTTCCTTGAGAGGGGCTGGACTTGATGATCCATCGGGTCCCTTCCAGCTCTGCAGTTACTATTCTAATTCTTCAAAGGGACCAGTTTGCTGCTCCTCCAGGTGCAGGGATGCATGGCTCTGCGGTTACTATTCTAATTCTTCAAAGGGACCAATTTGCTGCTCCTCCAGGTGCAGGGATGCATTTAGACAAAACAAAAGAGCAATCAATCATGGTGGCAACCTGCCAGTCCGGGACCTAACAGGACCCCTACCTTGCTACCCTGGCAAAAGTAACAGAGATTTCCACCCCAGACAAGACAGACAACAACGTGACACCTCCAGAACCAGCAGGTTTTCATTGGCCTAAGCTGTTACGGATTGTAGCCGTAGAAGCAGAAGCTTATTCTGAACTGGTTCGTCTTTACGGTGTTGTGAGGCTCCTTCTTGGTTTTCCTGGCATACATGGTTACTGCTCTGGAAATGGCAAGAATGCTTTAATTTCTTCTTCTTCTTTCAGCCCTGCTAAAACCGGCCAAATAGTTATGCTGCAGATCATCCTTGACAAGACATCTGCTTTTGAGATTATACCTGTCAAACCATTCTTTGGCCTCACCTCATTTGTAACATGACAGCCAAGAAGAGATGCCCGGAAGACAGTGTTTCCCCACACATCTTTGGACAGAACGTAGCCACAGCGAGGCCCCAGCTCTTTGTCAACCAATACAGGAATGCCAGAAGGATCTAGAGGGGCAGAGCAGAGTTTTAAAGCCTCTATGGAGTTACTACCTCAGCTGCTAATTAAACATTTCAGCATGACGTTTAGAAGGTAATTGCTGTTCTCTGTGGCAGCTCAGTGCCGCATTTCACGATACGAAGTCGTAGCAGGATCTTCAAACACAGTCACCCAAATCCCCTTACTTAATTAAGCTGGCATAGCACAACTCCTGAAGGCAAACTGCTCCAAGTTAAGAAATCGAAGTAGACATTATCAATTGAACCCTGAGTTGCATGACGCAGCACACAACTGAAAAATGTCTATGGTGATTTCATAACTTGGGGCATTTTCCCTTCTGAAGTTACACCACGTATATAACCATGCAAGAGGATTTTAGTCAATGAGTTTGGGGCCTGTGTGTGTGTTTCCCCCTTCCTTTTAAAATATTCTTTCGATCACTTCATAGTTCCAATTTAGCTGTCATTGCAAGCCCTTTGAATTGTGGTGCTGGAGGAGGCTCTTGAGAGTCCCCTGGACTGCAAGGAGAACAAACCTATCCATTTTGAAGGAAATCAACCCTGAGTGCTCACTGGAAGGACAGATCCTGAAGCCGAGGCTCCAGTACTTTGGCCATCTCATGAGAAGAGACCTTCTCATGAGAAGAGACCTGGAAAAGACCTTGATGTTAGGAAAGTGTGACGGCAAGAGGAGAAGGGGACGACAGAGGATGAGATGGCTGGACAGTGTCTGTGAAGTAACCAACATGAAACTGACACAACTCTGGGAGGCAGTGGAAGATAGGAGGGCCTGGCGTGCTCTGGTCCATGGGGTCACGAAGAGTCGGACACGACTAAACGAGTAGAAGACGACGCAAGCCCTAGGTAAGCAATTTTTCATGAAATGTCAGAAAAACTTTGAGATGACAGATCTGTCCATCTCACTTCCCATCAACATACTAGGCTCGCTTGCATTGAACAATAATGATTCAGAGCCCAACAGTTTTAGCCAAAAAAAAACTGGACTCAGCCACCCTTTAATGAACAGCTAGGAAACCTGGGGCCCTCAAGACTTTGTTGAACTCTTAATTCCCATCAGGTCTGACCAACAGTGAGGCATAATGGGAATAATAGCTTGCCAAACTTTTGGAGAGTCAGAAGTTCCCCACCCTTCTTTTAATGCCTTCTGGTATTAAAAGTGGAAACCGAGAGGCTAAAAGTTCTGAGTAATGTTTTTCTGCCAAAAGTTCATAATCAAGAAAGCATGGGACTCGACTATTAAGAGTTAACCAAACCTTATCATCTTAGAGCATTCAGATGTGTTTAATTTCCAGTTCTAAAAAGGTTCAACACTAAGTAGAGCCACATTCAGATAACTGATGGAAAGGAACTTTCCCAAGGGAAAGCTACTAATTATTCTCACCTAATGAATTCATAATAACTAATTTAGAATGCAGTTCTCTGTATGTTATCTTCAAAATGAACCCTACTGATTTTAGCAGAATTTTATATTGAAAAAAAATAAAGTATAGGATCAGGCCATCAATATGAAGAGAAGTGGCGCCTTGTCGATCATTTCCCATGAATTATAGCTTACTGATTATTTCTATCCTACAGAACTTGTTCTTGAGAAAGGACTCATCCAGCTTCATCCAAAACATGTTGGAGAAACAAGCAGTCTGTATAAAACCTAGGGGGAAAAAACAGAAAGGCATCAGGAATAATGCACACGTCATTACACTGCAGTACCCAATCTGCGTGTGGTTCGTCCTGAATCCTACCAGTCCCAGCAAACACGACTGACTGTCAGTTGGAAAATATAATCTAACAACACCTGGAAGGTTGCATGTTCCTCATCTGTAGGTTTGCAATTTCCCAAGTGCTCCATGAACTGAGGTTAGTAATTGGCAGGAAATACTGGATAATCACGCTACCCACCTGGGGACGCTAGTGCTTGTCTTGTCCTCCCTGTTCCAGACTGGAGCAAAGAAAACACCAGCAAGATTCTGCAATAGAGAGTGGGGTGGGGGAGTGTTAAGGGTATCAGCAGAACAGACACAAAGAGAAAGCTTGAGGAACAAAGGCTGGCTCAAGCCAATTTACCTGCAGAGCTGTTTTTTGATCACCTCCATGCTTCCAAGCAAGCAAAACACTCCACGTTCAACACACTCCCTTGTACACCATTCCTTGTACAGTAACTGACACCAAGCAGACTAAGGAAAAGAGAATTTTGTTTTAAAAAGGCAATGCATCTCCTTTACAAAGAAACAGCCCGGTCTCTCCTGTCCTTAAATTAGGAGCAGGTGCTCCAACATTTTACTATTAAGCACTGGAGGCCACATTGTTGATTTGGATTCAATCCTACATTGGCCCTTTGGGCTATAATACTTGAAATATTTCCTAAAGCAAGTAAGACACAGAGAAATTAATGTTGGATTGCCTCTCTCTGTAGCCCCAGCCAGCAGTCAGTGGTGAAGAATCATGAGAACTGTAGTCCAAACCAACCCATACCTGGAGGGCCACAATTGCCTGCAATGAAAACTACGTGAACTAAGTTTCTTGGGATGTGAGAGCTCTTAAAGGCAGAGAGGCAAAGGAAATAAATGTTGGGAAAACTATCCACTTCTCCTCATAGGAAATTTGTGGTTGGATGTAAATTACCACCAGGCTGAAACATGAAGAGGGAAATCTTCTGGGACTTCCAGCCATATGTTTATCATTCCTCTGTTGATGAGGACTGGTAATTCTAAGATTAACTGGATGGTGACAGAATATAGTTCTCAGCAACATTAACATACATAGAACTTGGCTACAGAAGTGTAATCCTAACAGTTACAACTTGATCCCTGTACATATATTTTGAGGAAATTCCTATCGATTTCAGTGGAGCTTATTCCCAGGCTGGTGTGGGATTACAATTTTACTTGGGACTAAATTACATTGTGTGGACCTTAAACTTGAGTAAATATGCACTCTCCCTAATGCTGCCATCCTAAGCATGCACACTATAAGGTAATTCCCACCCTCTAATTTACTTCTGAGTATGTCTCAACAGGACTGTAAATATCTACCTTTTTGTCATCCAGATCCACCTTGTATAATTCTACTTTCTCTGAATCGCAGTATTATGTTCAATGTTAACATGTTGCAGTGAGGTGCATTCAGACCTTTGTCCTGACGTAGCATGGGCTATTTTTAGATCTGTGTTTGAAGACAGAAACAGGCACAAATAAGTGAACCTATGCCACCAGGGATTTAAAAAAACATTAACCTTACTTCTGGTGTTATTTTCTTAGAGCTTTAATGTTTGTGACCACTTCCCCGAACAATAGAACTTTGTTGTCTTTTTTTCTGTAGGAAAATGGAAAACATCTGTTTTTATTTTTAATATGATGTAGTTATTTCATTTTGGTGGTTTTTTTAAAAAAAAGCTGGCTTGATCTAACGAAATACCAGTACTATGCCTATAATGAGTTACTATTAATATGTGGGAAAGGCAATCATCCAAAGCCAGTGTAATGTCAAATAACTGGCAGGATCATGCATTTTATTGCCTAAAGTGACAAATAAAAATGTCAGGATTACAAAAACAATATTCATTGGATGAGTAATAGACTGTGCAGATATTCCCTACAGCCATCTGAACTACCCCAAATAATCTTGTGGTTAAACTCCAAGGGCAAGATCTCCTACAATAGTTTTTGTTATTTGAGTGATGTAGGTTGTGGGAACACAACGCAAGCAAACACTATATGCAAAGATGACTGTGTAGTCATATGTTAGCCCAGAATTGGGCTTGCATACGTTATCTGATCTTTCATGAAGCCATTAATCATTTTAGGTGGAATCTCTCATGCGACAGGGAAAACTCTTGAAAAATAGCAATGTACACTGAAGAGTTGTAAAAGCGGAGTGGTCTGCAGTGTTTGTGGCGGAGTCAGGGAATTTGAATCCACACAGTGTCTTCTGGAAGAAGCACTAGCCAAAATCACCAGGCTAGTGGTGGTCTGGTTGATGAGGTCACTGGATGTGCCCTGCCACGTGGGTGACCTCCAGACACACACAAGGAGCAGGAAAGGGCAACCCACAGTATACTTGGGAAACCCACGGAGATCACCATAAGTGAGAATTACTAACCTGCCGACACATCTTCATCATTGAGAACAACCAAGTGTTAACGGTTTAGTCCTCTTCAGGCATAGACTCAAACTAAAGTCCTACCATGTTGAGCATGTCGTCCTGCTGAGCCAACGTCTGTCGTCTTGGCGGGCGGGGGGAGAGCGAAAGGTAAAGGAAGCCTGGACTCCTGTGGCTCTGTAAAAATTGTGGTGCAATTTCTGCAGCTGCTGTTGGCTCTACAGAAGCCACACCAAGTTGCACTTGCTGCATTTCCCCCTCCTGCGCTGGAATGGTTGCAGTAGAATTGATTTTGCCTCCAGTCAGCTCGTTCGTCTGTTTATTCTTTCTTTAAAATACTTTTACCCCACCTTTTGCCTTGGGAAGGACCCCAGGCGGCTTACAACAATGAAACACAATATTTAAAGTTGGAAACCATGAGTAGACGATGGTGGTTGTTGGTAAAAAGGTAAAGGTTTCCCCTTGACATTTTTAGTCCAGTCGTGTCCGACTTTAGGGGCTGGTGCTCATCCCATTTTCAAGCCATAGAGCCAGCATTTGTCCGAAGACAGTATCCATTGCCACGTCACTAGGGAACGCCGTTTTACCTTCCCACCGAGGTGGTACCTACGTATTTATCTACTCGCATTTACATGCTTTCGAACTGCTAGGTTGGCAGGAGCTGGGACAAAGCGACCTCACTCCGTCGCGTGGATTCAATCTTACGACGGCTGGTCTTCTGACCCTGCAGCACACAAAGGCTTCTGCAGTTTAGCCCGCGGCGCCGCACCATTAAAAGACAATACTGAAACTAAGGAAGGAACAATAAGTACAAAGAGGCAGCTTACATCAGTAACAGGCAATATTAAGCCAAAGATCAATAAGTACACAAAAATACAAAAACTAAGAAATAAACAAACAAATAAATAAATAAATATGACACTCTGTTAAATGGAAAACAGGAGTGGTACCAAAAAAATCCGATCAAAGTACGTAGTAGGTGCTGCAGAGCAATCTGTGGCAGGAAGCTGTCTACTGAGGGAAGGCTTGCCTCAAGAGAAAGGTCTTTTTTTGCCGGCCCTGTGAGGGTTTGGGGCAGGGGACGGCGCCCTCCTCCAGCCCTTCCTGGCTGCCTCGCTTCCCAGCGCTTTCCCTCCGGGTGCCTTTCGGGGACTCTCCACAGGATGTCTCCCTTCTCCACTTCGGCGGGAAGAGCACCGGCTTTTCCAAGCGCCTTCCTCCGGTCCGGACCCACCAGGTGTCGAGGCGCGGAAGGCGGCCGGGCTGTTATTCTCCTCTGCCTTGAGGCGGGACGGTTCCAAGACGTCCGAGCCTCCTCCGTGGAGGGTCCAGTCCCGGAGGCAGAGGCTCCGGGGCTGTTTCGGGCGGACGCCGGAGCAACGCGGCCGGTCAGGGCCCAGCGCTTGGCTTTCTCGGCGTCGGACCCCCTGGGAGCCCCTCCGTGGGAAACGATGCGCAGCCACCTCGGGTGGAATCGGGGAAGCTTTAATGCAGAAAAAAAGGAAAGAAAGGTGAGGGTGGGGACGGAAGGAAAGCAAAGGGGCAGTCTGGGGGAAGAAGGTGCTTCTTCCCAAGCTGGCCGCGGCAGGGATGGGCAGCTGTGCAAAAATAAAAAAAATAAAAAAAAAATTGAAAAGGCTGCAAAAATCCCCCAAATGGCTTCAGAGGCCAGGGAAAGGGGCCTCCTTATTAGGCCATTCCCCTGCTGGAGCTGGGAAAAGTAAGGCCACTAATCGTACCAAACTGCAGGTAAATTATAAATAAATTGTGCCTCACTTAATAATAATAGTTATCTGTGAAGACTCATTCAGGTGAGGTTATCTGGAAGTTGGGTCATGGCAACTTGATTTCTTTCTTATTAGAAAGAAAATGTTTCACTACTCATCATCACAGTACTATAAGGAGTTGCAGATCTCAGAAATCACACCATCAGAGCTAGAAAAGACCAGCAATATTAGGAACAGCATACATCCTGCGCCGATACTTAACAGAGATACTGAGGTTTTTGATTAAAACTTGTATCTGTTATATATAATGCCATGATCTTGCCATCATAGCTAACTGGGAAGAATGATGAGAGCCCTACCCCAACAATATATGGAAGGCAAAAGGTCGCCCATCCCTGCCTTGGAAAAGAGAAACCTAAAAACGTGGAGACACGTGTTCAGGTCAGATACATGTGGTAGACCAAGAATATGTATGTAGTATAATAATAGTTTATATGGTTTATGCTAATAGTTCCCAGCCTTGAGTAATCCAGATGTTTTTGGACTGCCCAGAAACCCTGGCCGGCACAGCTGGTGATGAAGGCTTCTGGGAGTTGCAGTCCAAGAATACCTGGGTTACCTAAGGTTGGGAACCATACTGGCTTATGTTATTGTTGTACAGTACTGTATATAGTTTATCTGCCACATATATCTGCCATTGCACATGCAGATATAGGTGGGATTTCAATATTCTTTATTTTGCAGGGGGAAATGCCTTATATAAAAGATGTTTTTAAAATATCCGAACAAACGTAAAGCATAATCTGTTTGTTTGTTTATTTGATTTTTATATTGCCTGACTTAGTAAGGAGTCACTACTCTGGGTGGTGTACAAAGAAAATAAACCCATAACGACACCAGCACCTCCAACAACAATATGAAACGACACAATTATATACAAAAGTAAAAGAATGACAAATTACAGCAAAATAGAGCAGAATCAGCAAAATCAAGTAAAGTCAAATGACGACAGAAAGTAAACTCTGAAAGAAAAAGCAATAGATTCCTATCTATGAGAGGCAAGATGTTTTGAAAGACCTCTTTATACACTTCTCCTTTGACGAATTTGCTGAAAGGAGGGATGAGGCAAATGTCTAGTGGTAAGGAATTCCAGAGGGATGGGGCTACCGCCAAGAGGGCCGTATTACTCTTTGACAATCTTCTGGCCTCTCTCATTGTGGCCACTCTGTGTGAAAGAAATAAAATTAAAGCAAATATTCAGAATACGGTAATTCCAGTGAACGCCACTGAATGGCTGTGAGAGACAGCCACTGCAAGGGTAGGGGCACGCTGCATACTTGTTGCACTTGAGGCTTTATCCTGCGCCCACCTGCCCTTCTGCTGGCTGCCTCTCACAGCTATTCGCTGCTGCCACCGCAAGTGTTATTTTTCAATATTTGTTTTATTTTTTATTCCTTTCAAACTGGGATAGCGTTAGTTCAGTATTGCAGACAGAAGGGAAATATAACAGATCCGACTGCAAGGTTTCCCTGGAGCCTGAAACCCATGATCCTGGAATCTATTATATTTGACAAACCCCACAGACACAATTTACAGAGGCGAGCACACATGCCAGAACGATTCAAAATAAATT